TGGTCGTTGCTGCCAATGATGCCAATTCCCCTCTTTTGCTCAATAAACCTCATCAAAACCCAGCTAACAAATTATTCATTCCACAATTCCGCCGAGTTTCGAAATTACCACCGGGATTTGAAACCACCATTGTCTCTTGGTCTCAACCTTCATGGAATCGAAGTCGGGAACAACACAATCGACCGGTTCTCTCTGTCACAAAATCAAATCGACAATTATCATTTTTAAACACGGCTTGAATCATGACGATTAAAACAATGGTCGTTTTCCACCGACAAAATCTATTCTTTTCCCTTGATTTTTGTAATCGTCGAATTAAAACCACCATTGTTACAAGTCAACCACACAACTCACCAACTTGCTTCTTCGGCCAGCTTTGGCTTTCTCTCAATTTTTTTCCGAAACCATTTTAATTTTTTGTTGAATATCTATGGTTTTAAAGGTTGTCGTAGAAACAAAAGAGAAAAAGGAAAGAGATATATGAAAGAGAAAGAGAGATACATAAGGATTAAATGATATTTTTTGACATATACAGTAAAAGTAAAAAAGTGGTGAGAAGAGAGAACTAATTTATGGTTCTATTATGGTCAGATGTTATAGATATCCTTTTTCAAAAATTGCCCAACCCAACGCACATGCCTCCCAATTCTTTACTCCAACACCACCTTGAAGGTACGTTGCTTTGAATAACAAATGTCTTAAAAAGTTTTTAAATACATCCAATTAGCAAATTTTATACATGAATTATTAAAGAAATAAATGAAGACCCACTTATTTGATCCCATCACTTTCTCATATACCTCTTTTGTCTCTCCATAGAACTGAGTTGTGGTATATGAGAGAGACAATTCATATCTTAATGCTTTTTGTTTATCTCTTAAGGGTTTTGTTCCGTTCCATACGTAACCCATGTGCTTTGCCATTTCTATATACTTCCAAACACACCCCTTTAGATATTTGCTAATCCCAAAATTTAGTTTCATTTTTCCCCTAAACAAATCCCTATTTTGAATCTAAGAAAAAGTTGCGTGACTAACTTGTCAAAAAATTTACAGACAAAAAGGTGTGAGGGAGTCAAGTTAAAGAATGTTTTATTTGATCAATAAACTCCTAAATAAAAGTCACTGCAGTTTCTAAGAAGAATCTCAAGAATCTGTATTATCACTTAAATTATATTTTTGTAGTAAAGCTGTACTCTTTAAGTTAACTTTTGGAGATTACCAGAAGAGAACTACAAATAAAAACACCTGTAAATAAATATACACTCAAAAACTTCACATGTAAAAAAAAAAATTATAAAAAGAGAAGGAAAAAAACGTTTTCTTTTAGGAATGCCAAATACCACCAAGTATGGTGTGGAATCTGTTCCTAGATAGCTTCTTCACAAGTTTCTTAGCATCTGAATCTTCTCTTTCAGCTAGTTTCTCTATGATTTTCAAGTACCCAGAAGCCGAAATCTTTCGTCTCGCGCTGTTGCAGCTCGTTAACGATATCAATATCAAAATCAAGGACTTCGTGTTACCCAAATCACTTCTCTCATTCATCCTTTCTTCCTGATCTAGCAACTGAAGAATGTAGCTGATGTTACAATCTTCCTGCAGGAACTTCTTCCTGTTCTTTGGAACCGAGATCAAGTAATACAGCGCCTCGCTTGCCATTTCCCGGACGCGTAAAGATTTAGCATCGAGGAACCTAACTAGCTCGGGGATAAAACCCGCATCGCCCATTATCCTCTTAACATCCGCTGGTAAACTACAAAGCCTGGATGTAACCTTTAACGCGGATTCTTGAACAGAAGTCTCCCCATTTCTTAGCAAATACAACAAATGATCTAAGAAACGGCTACTCAACAATGCATTCAAGTAACTCACTGACCCAAAACACAAGTTATGAATTGCCCTCAATGCCATTTCCTTAGATTTCGAAGAGGAGAACGTATTAGGATCTGATACAAGCACAAGCTCTTGGATTCCTCCTCCTCTAACCAAAATCTCACGGCTTTCTTCATCTCTACAACACATACTTGACAAAAGATCAATAGAATTAACCTGAACAATCTCATCTCTGGATCCTATAAGCTTGATAAAAGTAGAAACCATGTCTTCTTCAATCATATACCTCTTGATTTCTTCAACACCAACTAGATTTCTCAACACTCCACACGAGCTAGCAATCAATTCACCACCAAATTCACCACAAGAACAAATCTTTAACAAAGCAGCCACTCCTCCATGAGCAGAGACAGACCAAGCATTCTCAGAATTCTCAGTTAATTTCATCAAACACCTTGCAGACGCTTCTCTACCAACAACGTTCCCGTTTTCCAACACCCTAACCAAAGGACCAACCACGCAAGATCTAATCAAAACAGGCTTATACGAATCAAACCCAGATATCAAAAACAAAGCTTTACAAGCCTCCTCTTGAATCCCAATCTCAGAATCCAAAAACTCAATCAAAACATTAACCATGTCGCTGGTTTCGACAACAATCTTCATATACCTATCATCTTCTTCCATAGATTCATTCAACTTAACCAAAGCTTGCTTCTTCATCTCCACATCACCAATCTTCATTCTTGTCAACAAATCCCTAACGTAAAACCTCATATCATCTCTACAAGCTTTATCACTAGGCTTCGAGACAACAATCGCGAACCCATGTCTGAGAATCTCAGAAGAGTAAATCCGAGAAAGATTCCTCACATGGCGATCAAATTTCCCAGACATAACATCTAAATCACTCTGCATCAAGAGCTTCCCGCTAAAGGAGACATTCAAGCATCGTGAAGCAAGATCGTGAGATTCTTGGAGAGAATCTAGAATGGCGTTAATCAAGGTGGAGAGAGATGGGTCGAAGTCCGAATTTAGATTCTCGACGGAAGTGATTCCAGAGTAGAGTTCTTCGAGCTTGGTTCGTATCAATTGCCATTTCACGGTGAAGGATTTGATTGAGTGTGATAGTGAGATTAAAGAAGATATTGATTCCTTCACTGATGCTTCACCCATTTCGTGGATTAGGTTCTTCTTTCTCAGTGGTTTAGAAGAGAACACATAATGAATCACGAAGAGGGAAACTAATGATAGAAGAAGAATTTAAAGAAAATCTAGTTGGGTTTTTATTTCAATTGTTGAGCTTTTTGTGAGCAGAGAAGAAGGAAATGGCAAAAAGAGAGAATTTAATGGCGATTTTACGGGAGTGGCCTTCTCGGTGGGGTTGGAACAGTGACAAGTCGATGAAGATGAAGATGAAGGTAAGGATATAATTGTCATTTATAGTACTTCTGCGTTAGAACTTGAAAGAATTCCAATCTATCTATACTTTGGTTTGGTTACACCATTTTATTTTATTTACATCCCTATAAATATTTTAACAGGATACTAGAGAGAAAAACAAAGTCAGCAAAAAATGGCTAATCTCTTATATAATTTAGATAAATTTGCAAATATATATAGTACTCTTGTTTTCTATCCTCATCATCTCATCTATATTTGAATTTTGTCAAATTACACTATCTTCCTAGTATTGATTTTTGTCACGGACAACTTTAAGCATCCAAATTATGTAGGCTAACAATAATGTAATATCGAAAACAAAGTTAGGTGTGAAAATAAAATACGTATAGATTATACAAATAAATAAAGCAAAGTAAGTAATTGAAATCGACGTTGAGTAGTTGAGAAGGGAAATAGTCATTATATATTTATATTATTGACGTCAAAAAAGAAAGATATATGCATTCAGAAACGCCATTACAGCAAATTCCTTTGTTTTCACGAAAAAGATAAGTACGCATCTTTGTGCTCATTTCTTACAATAGATTAGTAACTAGAAATTACTTTATCATTAATGATTGAATAATAATGTATTACGTTGTAATTAGATACTACTTCCTAGGATTAAATCTCAACTTCTGCAAAATATTGGATATGATATCTCCAAATTTCAGATGTTGCACGGTGTATGGCTACGTTCGAGTAAAATCATAGTTGTTTGTTATATATATATTTATAAAGAAAATCATAATCCGTGTTAAAATTTTGTTTTCTCTGTTGTGTGTAGTTATAATTTATAAATCGTGTTTAAATGATCGATGTTGGAATCTTTCGGTAGATATTATATCTTTTTAATTAAACGTTCATGTTATATAAGATTTGCACACTAATAAATCGAAACCAAAGCAACGATCGACAGGGAAAACTAGCGTCAAATTAATGTGACAACTAATACAGAAAATAGATCAGGAGATTGCTTGACGAAGACATGTTGATGAATATTGTACTTTATAAGTCATCTTTTCTCCAGTGCTCATACGATTTTAATAATTTAGACTTGATTGTGACGTTTCATCAAATCTTAATCAGTTTGATTGTCTTAGGTTATGATAACCAGGTAATGGGTAGGTGTCCACTGTTGACTTACAAATTGCGATTCAATACTTTTTTCGTTCTAAATTAAATCAGTGTATTTTAAGATTTTGTTTTGACAAAAATGTCGAAAGATAATTGCTGAACTTACCAATAGATCGCTGTCAGATTCTGATTGCTGAACTTACCAATAGATCGCTGTCAGATTCTGATTCTTGTGGTATTTTGTTGTGAAAAAGTCATGTTACAAGATTTTGGAGCTTCATTGCGTAGGCGATAGAGAGAAGTTAAATGGCATTGATGTTTTAATAATGATTTATGAAATTGTGGTTGTGATAATGTCGTAACTAGACTTGTTATTAGTGGGCAATCAAAAAGGGGTTTGCGAACAAAATAATATAGATTCTATTCGTTCTCCTTAACCAATATTATCCTCTAAATTAATCAACGTTGAACTTTTCTCTAATGATTCTACTATTTAATGATAACATATATTCTGACCTACATACACAAGAATCACAATATAATTGAGTGCTATTGGCTTCTTTTGTCTACTCATTTGTTGTTGTTAACTTATCTCATCTCTTCTTAATGTTGTTGCTCAAAAGATGCCAAAGATGGGCCACTTATGTATCAAACAAACCAACATATCAACATCTATGATTCACACAACATTGTCACATAAACACTAACGAAGAAGATAATAATTGTCAAAAATATACAATAATAATAATGAACCGGTACGCTTCAAAAATCTCTACAAATTTTTTGCCATGGTTTCACCGTAATCTAACTATTCCATTCCATATTAACAAAACAAAGAAACAAAAAAGAACAAGCGAAGAGATGATTTTGAGAATCAAGTTCAACTCTTTAGAAATTTCACTTCTTCAACATGAGCATTATGTGAGGTAGAAGGGGAATGAGAAGGAGGATAAAGATGACGATGAAGAGGATGATGGCATAACAAGTCCATTTCCTGGAGCTCTTTTGGTACTCCCTCGCGTCTTGGAGCTGATCAGTCCCTCTTCTAACAAACGAGCTCGCTTTCGCTACATGGCTCTCTATGTTGTTTAATTGTTGCCCTTGCGCTTCCACTAGAGCTGCCATGTCCAAGAAAACTTGGTGCAGCTCTAGTAGATTTTTCTCTATCTCCTTCACTGCATCATGTCTCTCTTGGATCTCAGATATCGTGTCTAGGATTTGACCTCTTCCTTGCTCTTGAATCGCTTTCTGGAGGAAATTCTCGCTCTCACCGCTTGCTATCAAGTTATCGATTGTTTGCTCGTCTGCTTTTTCTCCTGTTATTGTGAAGTACCTGCACCAATTCCAACATAATTATATAACTTGCAACCCAATAAAACAAACAGAGCAATAGCTTGAAACACAAGAAACCTAGAGAAAAACAAAGACCTGCGCTCTACGGTTTCCTTATACTCATTGTTCATACGAGCACGCAGACCTTGGAAACTATCCATCAAGTCTTTGAGCTTCTTCCCGAGACCGCTAACCACAGAAGATCGAGTCCTATCCGTAGACGAACCGGGCCCACAACCCGGGACATTACGGCTATTAGCATTCGCTTTCTCTAAGGCTTCGAGCTTCTGCTTAATGATTTTAACCCTTTTCAGGACCATTCCTACGTCCCCATCCATCTTAGCTCGTAGCTCTTTTACTTTCTTGGCATTGTGAACCGTCTTGCACTCTTCATTCGAGTCTTGAAGCTTCTTATAAAGAGTCTCGACTCCTTTCATGTCGTCCTTCACATTCTCGACATCCTCGAAGAATTTGTCGAGGTTCATCGTTTCTTGACCTGCCTCAACATCGCGCAGTTGAGCCTGGTTCTTCTTGAATGAATTAGAGAATAAATCGTTCATTTTAGCTCTGTTTTTTTTTTTTTTTTCTTTTTCTCAGGCTTAATTATGTACAAAAGTTTTTTTGTTTATTGGGTTTTATGTGTTTTTTCTTTGAATGTTTTTGTTCAAAAGCAATTGATTATGATGATGAACATCACCATCGTCATCCTCTGTATGAGTACGAGGAAGAAGATGCTAAGAAGTTTTTCGTTTTCTTTATTTTGGTGAGTGAAAAAGAAAAACTCTGGTTTTGCTGGAAGGTTTATTTTGTTTTGTTAGAAACGAGAGACACAAGCCACTTTTGGTAATTGTCCAAATTTAGTCAACGGCATAACTTTTTCTTAACCAAATTAGCTCCATTTGGTCAAAGACGTCATTACCCTTCTATTGGGCCAAGCCTAAAGCCCAATTAATAGTCCATTTCTTGTGCTTCTCTTCTTCTCCCGAGACCTGTTTTGATTAAACCTCACAAACCCTAATTTTGACCTGAGTCGCTTCGTTTCCGATCGGAGGAAGTATCTGGCGATGAAGGAAGGCTTGGATAATGACGAGGCGGGTTCATTGGCTCCGCCGACCAGTGCTAGGCATATTGGGAAGAGAGCTCGCAAGAACAAAAGCCTCACCGTCTCTTTTGACGAGAAAGATCTCAAGTACAAAAAAAAATCTAACTTTACTGCTGATTCAATCTGGGTATCTTTGAATTCGCATGATTAGTGAGTTTTCTGCTGTGTGTTGTTTTGTTTGGTAGGGATTTTGTGACTGGTTTTCACAAGAGGAAGAAGAAAAGAAGAAAGGAAGCTCAGAAGCAGCAGGAGGAAGCTTTGAGGCGGAAACGTATCGAGGCCCGTAAGAATGTGAGCATCAAACTGTTGATTCTTTATTCTGATATGTCATTTATGCGTTATAGATTAGTCTTAAATTCCTCGTTTAGCTAAATTTAGATTTGTCTGGAGCTTAAAACATTGTCTATTTGGTAAGAGGTTGTGCAATGAGCTTGTTCTGATTCGTTTCTATAGAAATTTGAGTGCTTCTTTTGTTTTGACTGCAAATGTTAATCCAAATTTTACATCTTTCAGAATCTCCTTCGATAGTGTTTGTGATGTATGAGTGATTAAGAGTGGGTGATATATCAGAGAGATTGTTGATGTTCAATCATTTGTATTATGTAGATTTTGATTCTTGGCCTCGAGCTTGTCTTTTCTCGTATTGTTCTGAATCTTGTATATGGGCTTTGCAGAGGAAATTGGAAGAGTTAATGGTTGCTGGTCATGGCGAGGATAATGAAGATGGGGAAGCTGAAGATGAAGAGGATGCAGAGGATGAAGAAGCAGAACCTGATGCGTCAACGTCTGGTAATATTTTCATAATCGTATTAGTTCTTCATTAAGCAATGATGGATTAGTTTGTCGCCATAACATGTAAGCTGGTTGATTGCAATGGAGAAGAAGCATTATTGAGTTTATCTTTCTCCATTGATTGCTTTGCCTTCGCATGATTTTGCTTTGATTGGCTTTGTTCTGATATTTGTTGTGTTTCTTTGTGGATGAAAGGCACGACGATGTATGATACAGGCGAGCTGAAAGTAACTGTGACAACAAGCGCGATATCTTGTGAAGAGGAAGAGCCTATTCGCAAGGACAAGACCCAGTCAACAGAATCGGGTTCCACGGCCAAAGCCTCCACAAAGCAGCCTGTGCCTGTGAGGAAAACCAAACCCATGAAACAGAGCAGGAAACGGTCAAGCACCAAAACTATGAAGAAAAGGGATAAGAAGAAACAAGCAAGAGGGATAAAGACTCCGCGGTAGAAATAGAAATTTCTATATCTTGTCCTTTATTAAAAGAGTTTCTGATGATTCGGACTCTCGAGCGTTTGGATTGTTTGCTGCGGTTGGAATTGTGGGTAACATTTGGATAATGTTGAGTTTTGTAGTAACAATCACATTTGTTAAATAAATCTGTAATGTTACACTCGCTTTACCGTTCACCAAGTTCTTTGACCACTAAATCTTCCTGTAAATTTTGTTTGATTGGTAACAACCAATTGCTGCGGTAGTGGAAACAATAACTAGAAAAATCATTCGTTACGATATAAATCAGAATTCAGAACAACTCTCTAGTAGCAGAGAGACACGAAAGATCTTTAGAACCAACCTTTACCTTAAATAACGGTCAAATGTATGGCAGCTGAGAATTGAAACTCGACCTTGGCCACGTCTTAAGGAAATAAATTTTTTGGAATTGTTTTATCAATTGATTATGGCCGAGAAGACGCCTTTGATTTATCTCAACTCTTAGGTAGAAGATCTGTTTCGAACCAAATTTTTTTTTTTTTAAAAAAAAGAGAGTCGAAGTCGAAGATCTTTTATTCATGTCCAAAATCAAGTAATTTGTGGTTGTCACTTGTCAACAATGTAAGTGGTAAATTACGGGACCACGAAGCCACCATGAGACTTGTAACCCTAACAAAAACGTCTTAAAATGGAACACATGTACATGCATACGTCAATGGAACATGAGTTTGTTGTGTTGGAAAAATTGTAGAATCTCCCTCCGGCTGGGAAGCCTTTGGTTTCGGCTAGATCGGGCCACCGGAAACTGGTCAAAGTGACTCCAAAAGGTAGTCACTCTCAAATTTTAAGGAAAAAGGTGACGTCATTCAAGATAACGGATTGTTATTTATTCAAATTTTCGAACACTATTTATGTAAATTTTGGAAGCGGAATTATTATTTTGTAGGCGATGATATATAGAAAGAAGGCGTTGAGAGTGGTGACACCGAAGCGAGAGAATAAGTGGAAGATTATATCGGAGGAGGGAATGTCAACGCCGTTGACTAGTCATTACCCGAGACCAGACACGTTCGGACTTGTTGCCGGTGGTTATGTACTAAAACCTGCCTTGAGGATATCCGAGACTTTCAGGGACGTGACTAATTATCACCAGTCGTCTATGACGGTGACGCCTCCGTTGAAGATGAAGAAGGAGATGTTGCCGAGTCGAGAGTAGCTGAATCGAAGAGTTGAAGCGTTTATAAAGAACGTTAAGGAAGAGAGGCTGGAGTCGCTAAGATTGGACAAAGAGGTGGCTTAGACAGGAGGCTCTTAGCTTTTTGTCTTAGTTATTACTCGTTTTTACTATTTTGATTGTATATATACATGAAATGCAACAAAAGACGTTAAAAATGATAATGAAAGTCACCAATAAATGTAAGTATGTAACGATGGGTATCATTGATATATTTTGTAATACTATGATACAATGTAATGTTAGCACTGTTTTATTTACCAGATGAGATGCGTTCTTCTGTTCGTTCAATCTAGATTATGGTCCGTCCAATAGAGGCAGTCCTGAGTTTACGGGACCCAACGAATCTTTAAACGTGGCTATTTTCTTCTATATTTAAGATTAACAGAATTATAATCATATATCCAAAAGAGAAAATAATAAATCACTTTACATGTTTTATATCTAAAATCGGATGTATTTGAATGATAGACATGTGAATTAACTAGTTAAGCTGTAAGTTATGACTCTAAAACATAACCTAGTATAAAAGAGTTCTGATGCATGCAAACACATGTACAGTTTTGATATTTGTTCTAAATTTTAAAAAATTGGTTATAACTAAAAAGGTATATATATATAGAAACCATAGTATGATAAAAAGATGCGTCTTTCCGAGGCATTTCATATATGATGATTATGATAATGAGAATCAATTAATCACCATCATATATAGATCTATTTAGTTTAGATTTTTTCTTCTTAATTAACATGTTAATATATGGAGCAAGGTATCAAATTGATAAGTTGGATAAAATTTGTGGTTGTGAGCAATGTAAGTGATATATTACATCAAGAAAAGGTGATATAATACGGGCCACAAAGCCACCGTAACTTGGTAACCCTAACAATACAAAAGTCTTAAAGATAAACGTTCTAATTTTGTATCGTACATAAATATCTCGAGTACTTAAGGGCTGGCATATATAACGCGTACATCGTCAATCTATCAAGCCGGCTAGCTAAATGAAATTGCGGAAACATGATTAAACACAAACGACATGAAGATCTCTCTATGAGCAAAAGCAGCGAAAGCATCGAACTATCTCACATATATAACACAAAGCAAGATAGCACGAACGTCTTGTTTATTAATTTCTTGTATTAATTGTTGCATATGTAAACGGACCAAAACAGTCAATTTTATATTTACATGCTATATAATTATATGTTTAAATGGGTATTTCATGGTTACCGGTATTTGATCGGAAACGGATGACAATTGACACGTCACGAAAACAATGTTTACCAAATCATTCTTCTAGACTTCTAGTGTTATAGGATCTCATCGAGTAGCATATAGTGTTAATATTTGTTGATGTCGGGATAAAATAAAACCAAAACTACATATTTTTATGTTAAGTAGTACAACAATACGTTTGCATATCTTTCTAATTTTAGAAAATTGTTCAATTTTTTTTTCTCGGTCTCGATTGAAAGTGAAATATTTGTCGACAGTAAGAATGTAAGATAAGGTCATAATATTTATCAAAAAGAAAACGAAAAGATAAGGTGGGAAACAATCAAACAATTTTTTTTTTTTAATAGTCGTAGTAGGTCGACCCCTAAGAAAATTACAATGTTTCATTTGTTTTCTTCTTTTTTTTTTTTTTTTTTTTAACACCTGTTTCATTTGTTTTCTTATTAAGAGAATTTTGGAGATTGCAGAATTGACACAAATTAAAATGACACGTCACCCACCAATTGCTCCATCTTCATATTCTTAGATCCAACGGTGTTGGTTAAAATCATAGCTTAATTAAGCTTCACATAAAGCTCCACTCCACCCATATAAATCAACAGTCGACAGATCAAGAGTATCCCAAATCGGAGAATATGGTTTCGTCAATGATTTCGATCAAGACGGCGCTAATCTCCACCGGAATCGCCGCCTTGTCTCTGTTTCTGAAGTCCTCTGTTCCTATCGCAGTAGACTTCTCTGTATCACAATTCCCGATCTTTTGGAGTTCCTTTCTCTCGTGGCTGAAACCGCCGTACCTCTTCGTCGTCATCAACGTCATAATCACTATTATTGTAGCTTCTTCCAAGTATTATCAGAGCATTGGTGACCAAGATGGTGAAGACGACGAGATGATACTCGGTGGAGAATACACGATTCCGAATGTCATCAACCAAGCTCCTCCGCAACGACTGGAAGTGACGGATGTAGATCTGGACGCTGATTTCGATTTTGCGGCGACAATTCCTTCTCCGATAATACTCGTTGCGGAGGTGGAGAGATCGGAGGTTGTGTATAAAGAGAAGAAGGAGGAGGTTTCAGGTCTGATCAACGGTGGAGATGAGTTTGCGGTTCTGAGATCAGAGTTGAATCAACCGTTATTGGAAGGATTGGAGAATCTCCCTCCGGCTGAGAAACCACTGGTTTCGGCTAGATCCGGCCACCGGAAACCGGTCAAAGCAAGTTCAAAAGGTACCGGAGAGCGTTAAGAGTAGTCACTTTTCAAAAAGTTTTAAAATATTAATTTAATAATTGATGAAAAGATGACGTCATTCAACATAACGGCTAGATTTTATTTGAATTTTCACGCTATGGCGATGACAATGACCGATAATAACCGGTTAAATACGAAGTAAACCGTAGAGGGGTACATTGGTAATTTACACATCGAAATTATTTATTATTTTGCAGGTGTTAACAGAAAAAAGGCGTTGAGAGTGGTGAAACCGAAGCGGCACGAGACACTGGAGAACACGTGGAACATGATAACGGAGGAGGGAAAATCTACGCCGTTGACTAGTCATTACCGGAAAACCAGTATGTCCGGATTTGACGCCGGCGGCGATGTAAAACCTGTCTTGAGGAAAACAGAGACTTTCAGGGATGTGACTAATTATCGACACTCGTCTCCGACGGTGACGTCGCCGGTGAAGATGAAGAAGGAGATGTCGCCGAGTAGGGAGGAGCTAAATCGAAGAGTGGAAGCGTTTATCAACAAGTGTAAGGAAGAGAGATTGGAGTCGCTAAAATTGGAGAAAAACGTGGCTTAATTAAACACGAGATTAATTAACTTTTGTCTTAATTATATATTAATCGTTTTTCACTACTCTTATTTGATTGTCTTTTTTTTCCCATGGACTACAAGTAATGAAACAAAAGAGATTTAAATCATAATAAGTATAATGAGTTTAAGATATACGGAGCCTTTAAATTATTAAAAAGGAAATATTACTTTCATCATCAAATATCCAAAAGAGAAAATGGTATAACTATATGTACACTATATGTTTTACATAAAATGGATGTATTTAAATATTAGGCAGGTGACCTAGTTAAGCTTTAATACACTTAAAGCATCTCCAATGGTGAGAGCTCTTCCAAGAGCTCTCTCCTATTGTTTAATATAATTTGTGGAAATTTGTAAGATGAGAGCTTGTGTTTTATTTTTAAAAAAATCCATTGTCCAATGGTAGTATCTCTCAAGTGGGGTTCTTACAATATGCTTGATCAAACAATATGATGAATCAAATCCAAAGCATGAAAACTCACTTCGACTTGGCTCTTCTTAGCTACACTACTCCAGCTTTTAGATTGAACACCAGTTCTCCTATCGAAATCAATACTCAATGCAACCTCATGTTTATGATCAAGAGCAGTGAAACAAGCCATATAATCTCCAGCCTCCACCGCTGTAACTCGATGTCACCTGTGTAAATTCACGTTTAATCAACAAAAAACGAAAATTCAAAATTCAGAAATTCGGATTTGGAGAGTAATCTGATAGAGATCTTATGATATTGAGGTGAAGGATGAGCTTCGTTTGGGTTAAAGACTGTGTGTTTTCCGATGGTGACTGATATCATATCTCTATACGAATACACTAAATTGCAGAGGTTCGGTCCTAAATCCAAAAGTGATGAGATGAATCATCTATATCCTCAAAACAGGTTCACTAAAGCTTGGTTCAAATGATACAAAGACAAGATGGTAGAAGAAGAAACTCACTCCTGTGTAACTGATGCCTACAAGTTCAAGAACACCATGAACCAATGGAAGCCTATCGATTGAAAACATATGTTCCTCACCTTACTCCTCCATCAAGCAAAACCGGAATCCTACCTCTAACAACATGAACAACCTGCAGTTTCAGAAGAAGACCAGTTTGTTCATCAATCAAGGTTTCAATCAACTGAGAAAAAAAAAAAAAACAGAGCAAAAGCAGTATGATAAGATAGTAATTCCATGATCTAAATCTCTATCTTCAAAGCCATTGGAAGCTCACCAAAACTAAAATTCTTTCAAAACCTATAAAGTAGTAAACTTTTACTCGAAGTCCATAAAACCCATCAAGCAATACAAATGAAATTTGAAAAACACATAGGACCAAACACGTTTAGTCAGCATGAAGCAAATAACTCAATCTAACTCAGAACACAGACACAAACATTAACAACTAGGTTTATCAAAACCCTAAATTGTTCAAAAATCAAGAGATTTAGAAACAAGGAATCAAATCACAAACTTATCCTGAAAAAATCGAAATGAAAAGTCAGCTAATTGAAAGATTTGATGGAAAAAGGGCTGGAATTTTCACAAGCACTTGGCAGAGCTTCAGTGCACTAAAACCACCGCTCAAACCGAGATTCTGAGAGCAAGCGAAAGAGCTGCATCAATTCAATGGATCAAGAGCACGCTCATACACCATAATTTCTCCCTTAAATCAACCCTCAATCGCCGGAATCGTCAGACTAAATCTCGTCTTCTTGTTCGCCGATATCGCCAAAAGAGTGAAAGAGAGAGTCGAAAAAAATAATTGGAAGAAGACTTCGTGGTTCACGCATTGTCTTTTTTTTTTTTCCTTTTATTAAAAATCCTCCACCAGTCAAACAGTGACACGTGTGCGTCTCTCCTGGGTTCCCAAAACTCTCTTCGGAGAACCAACTCTCTCCTCAATTATGTTTTCTGATTTAATTTTAATCAGTTATAATCATTATAGGAGTCGTCTAAAACGGTTGTCTCACTTGGCTATGCCTATCCCTAGGACCCGGTTCAGTGGTCCGACGGTTTCGTCTAATTTGCTACATGAAATCGGTGACACTTCATGGAGTTTGTAACAAAGCAAAACATAACATTCACAAAAACAGCAGATTCTCCACAATTTTAGTAACATTTTATACCAAAAATAACATTCGTTAACGAAGTCTACTGTCTTTCTTTTTGTGATCAAAATCAATCAATCCTTTTTCTTTTTCATTCTTATCTTAGCTTGGTTTCTCCAATGTTAGGAATAATGTGAAAACATATTGTCCAATGACAAAGAAGATAATAATCATCTCTTACTTGTATGTGAATTTTGATTTTTGGGCTTTCAGCTGATTTATTTCATATTGATTGAATCTTGTATATGAACAACGCAAAACAAATTGGATGAGCTAATGGTCGCAGGTCATTGTGAATTGGGAGCATAGTTGAGATGAGAATCTGAGAGAAGGATGCAGAATCTAATTTTCAGTCATTTTCATAATCACATTAGTTTTCAATATGAAGAAATTTCACATTAGTTTTCCTTAGGTTAATTCGAATGATCACTGTCAAAAGAAGAGAAAAAAAGTATAACAAGAAAATCTGAAGCCAGTAATCACGTGTTAGATGTGTGTGACACGAGACATATCTTGTTATAACTCTGGGCTGGACAGTGAACGGTGCATACTGCTTGCTTAGCAACGACTCTTCGGTCGATAATGACACCATCGTTACGTGCAATCGTATGACTGGTCGTTTAACTATCGACGGTGAAATTAACAAAACAAATTAGTTATGGAAGGGGCCAAGCCAACTATTGGATCTTCTTGGATTCTCATCCAAAAGAGCTTTGACTATTACGCCGTGAATTCTAACGGCCGAACGTCAGAAAAACTCTGCGATTCACTCTCACCATCACAGTCACATCACAGGGCAGTTGGATACGTTGTCGTGTTCTGCATTTCGACGAAGTTTCGTTTGCCACTTCTTTTTTATGTCGGTAATATATTTTTGACTTGCTCACAATAATATTAATTTCCACATGCTAACATCACAAAAATATATTATCCCTTCTAACATCACAAAAATATATTATCCCTTAATACTAACAGGATCTTTGTATGTTAAAGACAGAATGTCATTGTCTGTAATATTCTTTTTAAAAAATATAAAATCTAAAATCATAATACAAATCAATAAATCCAAAGATATTAATAGAGATCATTAAGTAAAGTATATGATAATTTAGTAATTATAAATACATCTTTCAAAGAGCAATATTTCTAATTTATTTATTCAATCCAAATAGAAATAAACAATCAAATCAAACAAAGATTAAGTTTATATGACACTGTTAAATTAACTACATATGTGTTTGCTTTTTGGAATCAAGTAGCCGTTATAACATATCCCTTTTTTTAAAATCATCAATAAAATATTAAAGAAAAACCTAATAGCTTCTCTAGATATATCAAAAAGGAAAGAGGTACGGAATAATATCTGTGGTTTGAGGGAGGAAGTAGTATAATTTTCATCATTGCTCTAAGCGAAATTAGTAGTGGTCGACAAAGAAAAAGACTAAATAGTAAAGAGTGGATAGCCACTTGAGACGAGTCGGAGTCAAATATACGGACAGTTGGAAACTTGACATCTACCTTGGCCCGTTCTTACTAATTCTTAACTCTTAAGAAAATATCTTAGTGGGTTTCCGCCTTCGGGGATAAATTTTATTGAGAAATCCTTCATTTTAATCAAGTACCATAAGTAAAATACAGTATTTTAAATACTAGATCATTTGAAAGATAATATAATGTATCATAATAACAAAATAGTGTTACTTTGCGTTTTTGGCGATACTATGAATTACTTTGTTTTGTGGTATAGAACTACTTATGATGAGTAAATAGTTTACAATTTGATTTTAAGAAAAGAGTTTTGAATGTCATTTTCTAGTAACATATTATCAACTTGAGATTATACACTATACATTTTATATATCAAGTGATGTTTAAGCCGTTTTAAATTTTACTTTTTAAAATTCAATAATATGTTTTGTTTTTACTTGATTGTCTTTATATAAAATAACAAAAATTACTATAATTTAATACATAATAAAAGTAATATTGAATATCTTAGATAGGTTACAACTCTTTTTGGTAAGATATTTTACTTCTCTTTTTTTGAATTTAATGTTAAATTAGATTCAAAAAAAAAAAAAAATCTTTACATCCAATCAACATTACTTTTAATACACACAGGAACATATTAACTTATACTTCATAAAATAAGTTATGAATTCGCTCACTACATTATTCTTTTTTATGGTCGAAGACCTATACACATATTCATATTTTGTCTGTCTGAACCCTGGACTAATATATCCGCAATATACCGTAAAAAATAAAACTAAAAATAAGCGATACAAGGCTAAAAGACGTGGCCATAACGTGGGATTGAGAAACCATTGGAAACAAAAATAAGGAATTATAACGAAGTGGCCATACTAGGTTGACTAATAATAAGAGAATTATTATTTGACGTACAATTATGGGATAAATCAAAAGATATAAGTGTGGACACGTGAAGTTTAGTGTACGTGTCAATATTCAACAAGATATGCAAAACAAAAAAAAAAAAAAGAAGTTTATTCTCTACTCTTGTTTTGTTATACAAGGGGGTGCATCTACTGCCAGAAACAATCCTGACCGTTCATGTCTCTATTCTTAGATCCAACGGTATATATCAGCTATCTCATTTCCCCTCCCTAGCCTTATATAAACCGAAAGAATAAAGAGTTCAGAGCTAAGACTAAGAGCGTGACAAAAATACCACACTCCGATAAATATCAAGAGACACAGAGAGAGAGACGGTGACAGTGACATAGTTGGAAAAAATGGCGTCATGGATGAAGGCGGTGCTAATCTCTACTGGTTTAGTAGCCACGGCTATGCATCTAAAGGTTATTGTTCCTGTGGCTTTAGATTTCTCACAAGATCCGATTATCTTGAGCTCTTTCCTCACGTGGCTGAAACCGCCGTATCTCTACGTCATCACCAACGTCATCATCATCGTTATCGGAGTTTCTTACCGGATTACTACTGTCTCCAGCCACGTCGACGGCAAAGACTACGAGGCTTCTTACAGTGGTGACAATAAGTTTCAGGCTGATCATCAGCAGATCGTCGAACGACCTACTCTCCGACAGCGGACGGAGACGAAAGATGCGGATTTTGGTTTCATCGGCAAAGTTTTGCAGATCGTTAAGGAGCCGGAGGTTGTGTATGAAGAGAAGGAGAGGCCGGCGACGGTAGAGAGGGAGGAGGAGAAGCAGTGTTTAGTGGTGGTGAGCAAATCGGAAAATCAACCTCCGGTGGAGAAGCCGCTGGTTACGGCTAGGATCGGCCAAAGGAAACCGGTGGTTAAGACTACTCCAGCAGGTAATTAATTTAGATATTTAATAATAAGGTGACGTCATACGAATTTAGATATTTTATAAAAACTCTAAAAATACTCCTATTTGTTAAAAGGGTAGTTTCGTAATTTTCAGAAAGGAATTCAATGAGAGCGTTAAGAGTGGCGAAGCCGAAGCGGAACGAGACGTTAGAGAATACTTGGAAGATGATCATGGAAGGCAACAAGTCAACGCTTCCGTTGACCAGTTATTACAAGAGACCCGACACGTTCGGACTTGGTGGCGAAGAGACAAAACTATCTGGTGGTTTGAAGAAATCGGAGTCGTTTAGTGACAGAACTAACAGTGACCAGTCTCTGCCGTCGCCACCGCCGCCGCTAGTGAAGGTGAAGAAGGTGAAAGTGACTCGGAGTCGAGATGAGCTTAACCGGAGAGTAGAAGCGTTTATAAAAAAATGCAACGACGAGAGGTTCGCGTCGATGAGACTGGACAACGAAGTGGCTCGTCATGGTCTTTCATATTAAAATCATTTTCTTCATAATTTTTTGTTGTCTTTCAATACACGGCAATAACAAGTTAACAAATGTAGAAAGTCACGGATAAACAAAATCTCTTCTTTGTATTATTGATTGGATAAGGGTGGTTGGTTCACCTAGTGATATTTCTTCTGCGTTAACAATGTAATTAAAGTCGTTGAATAGATATTTGTTTTCTCTGCGTAAAGCCAAATATATATTATTAGCTAGTGACTCTCTTATAGGGACTTTAGAATCA